ACCACTGCCCTAGCAGAGAATTGTAGACCAGTTCTATGAACATGAGAATTCAGGGCTGATGGAAATAAACAATCAGAAAATGGGTTATGACTGGGCATGGTGGCTCATGCCTGTAATCCTAGCACTCTGGGAGGCTGAGGCAGGCGGATCGCTCAAGGTCAGGAGTTCGAAACCAGCCTGAGTAAGAGTGAGGCCCCATCTCTACTAAAAATAGAAAGAAATTAATTGGCCAACTAAAAATATATAGAAAAAAATTAGCCAGGCATGGTGGCACATGCCTGTAGTCCCAGCTACTTGGGAGGCTGAGGCAGAAGGATTGCTTGAGCCCAGAACTCTGAGGTTGCTGTGAGCTAGGCTGATGACACAACACTCTAGCCTGGGCGACAGAGTGAGACTCTATCTCAAAAAGAAAGAAAGAAAGAAAATGGGGTTGTTGTCATCCAGGAAAACAGCCTACCCATCTAGGCTAGTTGTCTTCATCAATGAAGGGTGGTTATTCTAACATAAATCTCTTTTTTTCAAAGCACCAGGTACACAATGAATAAAAAACACTTGGCCAAATAAGAAGCTTGAAGTATATCTGAAACTAATCACAGGTTGTTTTGAGGTTTAAAGTTAATTCCTTAGAAAAAAAAAAACAAACCCTACACATATATACACATACTTGTATATATAATATAAAACAATCAAACAGTAAAAAAGGTGTATGAAAAATATGACTTCCTCTTCCAACGCTACGATTTCCCAACTCCTTCTCCTAGAGCCTATACATTAAGAAGTTTTAACATATTCCTGCTCCCCTACAATGCATGCACACAAATAGAAGCCTAATGTATGCATTATTTTGCACCTTGCCTGTTTCAATAACATTGTAACTTGGAGACGTTCTCTACCAGTATGTTTAGTTAGCCTCACTGTTTGCATCATGGATACATCACATTGATTCACCCACTCCCTCACTGCTGGACATTTAGGTTGCTTTCAAACTTTTGCTATTACAAATAACATTATGATGACCACCCTCATACCCCTGTCTTGCACTCCGTACACCATTATTCAATTGTAAATGTTCATGCCCAGACTTACCTGCAAGCAGTAGCAGCAGCAGGACACAGTCAAAGAATAGATGTGACAACATGGGTTCTGCAGAAGAAAAGTCAAAGGACAGCTCTGTGAGGCACAGTTTTCACTCTCCAATTGAACTGGGTACTTCCTCCCACTGTCTCCTCCACGATGATCACATAAGCCAGTAGCCACCCTCACTGAACACCGGCCCAGCACAGAGGGGTGTCTGACCACCAGTGATTCCTATATTAACACTGCCGGCTCTACAGTCACATTAAAGGAAACCCCAGCTCTCTGTCATGCCGCATGACACACATCCCGTAAGCGTTCTGATGTTTATCCTGTTATATCATCAAAGAGGAAGCAATACTGCAGAAGAAGAAGAGTATTAGTCATGGCAAGTAGAGACAGCCCTCTAATATCTTAGATGAAATAGGCCTGCAAAGGACTGTGTGCAAGCCCAGCTAGTTAATAGGGAACACAAAGTATAGACATATCATTTGTTCATTCATTCATTCATTCAAGTCAGTCCATCAGGCAGGTCTGTGACTAATGTTTATGAAGCCCCTACTTTGTGCCAGGCACTGAACCAGGAGCTGGAGAACACAAAGATGAATGACATGTTTCTTATCTTCACATTTATTGTCCATTTCCACTCCAGTCATGAGCCTAATGCTCACCCTTACTCTAACACAGATTAGTATGTGTCATATAATCTTGCCAGGCCTCAGTCCCTTGTTTATAAAATTTATTAAATGAGGGGCTGGGCGCGGTGGCTCACACCTGTAATCCTAGCACTCTGGGAGGCCGAGGCAGGCGGACTGTTCAAGGTCAGGAGTTCGAAACCAGCCCGAGCAAGAGCAAGATCCTGTCTCTACTATAAATAGAAAGAAATTAACTGACCAACTAATACATACAGAAAAATTTAGCCACGCATAGTGGCACCTGCCTGTAGTCCCAGCTACTCAGGAGGCTGAGGCAGAAGGATCGCTTGAGTCCAGGAGTTTGAGGTTGCTGTGAGCTAGGCTGATGCCACAGCACTCACTCTAGCCTGGGCAACAAAGCGAGACTCTGTCTCAAAAAAAAAAAAAAAAATTTATTAAATGAGGGAATTGCTTGATAATGTATGCACAGCTCCTGTAATATTCTGACTTTGACCTTCAAACTTTCAAACTCTGCAATTTAGGAAATACATGTTCCTTCCTACAATCTCTTTTTTTTCTACTCTAAGTGGAGTTGAGGGGCCCTCAATATTCTGTTTCATCTCATGCACACAAGGAGTCCCCTTTCATCCCTTTTTTCCCATACAAGAAGTTTTGGGTGTGAATTGTCAGAAAGTGCTGAGTTCCGACCACAACATCCATTACTAAGAAAATATCTCAGACTCCAGGTAGTCTTAACACTGGGAGAGTGTTTTTACAACAGGGAAATGATCTCAGACTGAGCGGTTTCTGAAAACCCAGTGGTCTTCCTCTACGTCTTGCCTTCCTGAGTTTTCTTGTCACTCACCTCTATGCCACTAAATGCATTTAATATAAATACCCAACTTGTTCAGTGTGTATACTTCCATAGCATCACAGCATGGCAGTTACTCAAGAGATCATAATCAATTTCCTCATTTTTATAGACAAAGAATCTCACTCCAGAAGATTGATTTGCCCAAAGACACATGATTGGTGATTTAGAATGAGAACACAAATCCCTTAAGTGCTAGATTTTTCCTACTATCAACTATGTTTCATTAATTTGATGTTTGTCCTTAGTATGTCTGCCCACATAACTGCCAACAACCAGCAAATGCCCATATTCAAGTGTAAGGCAGAGTAGAGTAAACACGAGATCAGGGGTCACTGTCACCAGCAGTATGACTTTGGTTTGGGCAAGACTCTTAAAAGCACTTTAAAAGCACTGACCTTCAATTTTTTTTTTTTTTTTTATGATACAGGGTCTCACTCCATTGCCTGGGCTAGAATGCAGTGGCATCATCATAGCTCACTGCAACCTCAAACTCCTGGACTCAAGTGATTCTCCTGCCTCAGCCTCCCGAGTAGCTAGGACTATAGGCATGTGCCACCATGTCTGGCTAATTTTTCTGTTTTATTGTAGAGACAGGGTCTTGCTATGTTGCTCAGGCTGCTCTCAAACTCCTGGCCTTAAGCAGTCCTCCTGCCTGTGCCTCCCAGAGTGCTGGGTTTACCAGGTGCTAGGCAAGAGCCACCACCCTTGGCCTGACCTTCAGTTTCTGTGTTTTGTTTTCATTCCTTTGTCTTCTACCCATCTCTAGAATTGCTACTGATACCAGGTTTACAAAACAGTAACAATTTATTAACTCATTAAAGTCTAGATATGAAGGAGCCTAGAGATCTTTTCTAACCCTTTCTTCTTTTCTTTTTGTAGGGGACTGCTTCTGAACATTATCATGTTCATTTAACTTTTATTTCATGTTTATTTTTTTAAAACTGTTTAGGTAATACCTTCAAATTGCTAAAAAGTTAAAGCAATATAAAAGCTTGTATTAGGAAGCCTTGTTCCCACCCCTCCAAATCTACCCCCATTTTTTCCACCCACCCTATAGGTTTTCATTTGCAGGAATGTCTTGCAATGCAATGCACTCCCAATGCAAACACAAGAAAATGAAATATATATTCTCATTCCCTGCTTTCTTAGACAAAATAGTAGACCATATATACTTTTTGCACCTTGCATTTTCTTTTTGCTATTTTATTAGCTAATGTATTTTAAAACATATCCCAGATGTCATGTTATTTCACCCCTACAGAATCATGTAGATCTTCTTTTAGCAAATGGACCTTCTGTCCTCCTTGCCACTCTGTTTAAAAGAAAAATTTTAATGGTCATTCTGCTATGTAATCACAATACCCCACATAGCAAAGTTACTGACAATGTCACAGCAGCACCTAATACTTCAGTCCATAGTCAAAGTTCCCTGATTATCTCAAAACCATCCTGTTCCAGCTGGTTTGTTTAAATCCAGACCTAGACAAGTTACCCATGTTGCATTTGGTTATGTCTCTGAAGTCTGTTTTAATCTAAGACAGTCATCCCTCTTTTTCTTCTGCCATAGACTCGTTATACAAACCAGTTTTGTCCTGTGGAATGTTCCCCATCCTGGATTTGTCTGTTACCTTGCAGAGTCATTTACAATGTTCCTCTTTTCTTTGTATTTCCTGCAAATGAAACATAGCTCTACAGGTTTGGGTCAGAATCGGGTATGAAATGAAACTTAACTTTAGAGGTTTCGGTCAGAATCGGGTTTGACATTTTGGCAAAAACATATCACAGCTGGTGCTCCGTGTTTCCTCTTGCATCCCATTGTCTGCTTGCTCCACATTTATAGATGCCAAGATTGATTAGCTTGCAACTTTCTCTTTTAACTTGTCATATTCTGAAAATCTTTCCATTTCAGCTCATATAAAATATCCTCATTCTTTATTACAGCTACAGAGATTCCATTAGATGAAAACACTGTATGAAAATAACAAAGTCTATTTATCAGTCACTTCAAATGGACACTTCATGTTTCAGATCCTCATTTGCAAAGATGATCACAAAAGACCCACCCAAAGACTATGATTCTTTAATTATATGCGATGGGAGGGCTTATTTTTCTTTGTTTTTGTTGTCATGTTTTGTTTTATTGTGTTTTTGAGACAGAGTCTCACTGTCACCCAGGCTATAGTGCAGTGGCATCATCATAGCTCACTATAACTTCAAACCTCTGGGCACAAGGGATCCTCCTGCCTCAGCTTCCCAGATAGTGGACTACAGGCACACCTGGCTGAGTTTTTTCCAGACGGTGTCTCACTCTTGCTCAGGCTGGTCTTGAACTCCTGAACTCAAGCAATCCTCCCGCCTCAGCCTCCCAGAGTGCTAGGATTATAGGCATGAGCCACCATGCCTGGCCAATGAGAATTTGCTTTTTAAATGGGAACTTTGGATGTGTTTTTGGTAAAGGAGTCTTTTGAATTGTAATTAATTAGTTTCTAAATTGTGTTTAGAAAGCTGTATCATGAATTTTCTTAAAGGCCAGTTGTTGAGTTTTGGCTATAATTATGCAGAGGGATGCTCTGCTAGAGATTAAGTTTGTGTTTTGTTTTTCCCCTTAGTTAGCAGGAAAAGTCACAGAAAAATCTCAGATTCCTTAAAGATAGCCTCCAAGCTCCAAATGGAAACATTAGAAATATGCATAACTAGAATTACACCTTCATAGATAACTAAGGGGTCACTTGACAAAATTCATAAAGTGCAAGTTAGAGAATTTTACCCAGGTCAAGAGACAAGAAAACATGGGTAATATAGATGGGATTATCTGGGAAAGCTCACTCCAACTAGACTCTTCTCTACACAGTTGGGAAGTGTGCTAGCGTGGATATTGTGGAGTAACTGACCACTAAAGGTGGGGACCCTGCATGTACTTGATTTGGATCAATTATCCACTCTTACTTAAATCACATCTCAGTTATGTCACATGGACCATTAGTCCCTACATTTTGCAAAGGGAGACATTGAAGTCAAATATTGAGGGTACGTGGTTAAGCAATTTTGACCTAGATTTTCTGACTTCCAGATTGCAGCTAGCTATGTGATCTCCCTTTAAGAGCCCTTGTTACCTTGTATGTTTGTACAGTACTTGAAAAACCTTTTTTTATTATATAAGTCATAGTCACTGTAGAAAACTTTGAAAAATAAGAATGAAAAATAAATAAATGAAACAAATGCCATAGTCCCAGTACCATGAAATACCCACTTTCAACATGATGGGTCTTCTTTTTTTTTTTTTTTTTTTTTGAGACAGAAAAGTTTCACTCTGCCTGGGCTAGGGTGCCATGGTGTCAGCCTAGCTCACAGCAACCTCAACCTCAAACTCCTGGGCTCAAGCAATGCTTCTGCCTCAGCCTCCCAAGTAGGTGGGACTACAGCATGCACCAGCATGCCTGGCTAATTTTTGATGGCTCTTCTTTCAGATGTTTCTCTATAGATCTCTGTATACATACAAACATGCAACTCTTCATTAATATCAGCACACCCCGGGGGTACATTACCAGGAAAAAAAAAAAGACTGACTCCTAGACAACTGTGAACATCATGAACATAGATCCAAGAGAAGGTATGGAACATTTCTTTGCATTCCCCATTAAATCACCTATTAGTTCATAGACTCTACCTCAGATGGAAGCACTGCTATCTTTGTGGTCTCAGTCCTCTCACATGTAGCAAGTTACTCTTGACACTTTTGCCATCCCCTGTCCCCCATCCCAGTATGAAGAGGGCTACTTCAGACCACTGAGATCCTGGTATACTTGGAGGGAACTCCAGGTCTTTCAGGGTCTTCAGAATGACACATTTACAAAGACAAATAAATTTCCCTCGTCATGGACCAACTCTCGTAGCATGATTTTGATGAGTGTTCTTACACTCATTTTTATGTGTTCATAGGCCAACAAACTGCTCGCATCAAAGACCCCATTCTTTATTTATGCTGCAAATGACAGAAAACAACTCAAACTGGCTTCAACTATGAAATGACTGTATTGACTGACATTACTGAAAAATCCAGGTTTAGGGAAGACCTGGTTCAGTGGCCTCCAATGAGGTCACCAAGAACCCAGTTTCTAGCTGAAGTCAATGTTCGGCCGTCTCCAGCTCTGGCTCCTTTCTCAGATTCCACACTGTGTCCCTCTCCTGCACATGCAGAGCACATACCCACACACCAAGGACATCTCTTGGTTGTTTTCACACAGG